CCTAAACCCTAAACCCAAGAAGCCCCTCAACTCTGCATTCCTCAAATCCACGAGCACCAGGCCGCATAGTCAGGTCTCCGGAGCCCACGGGGTCGCTGAATAGAGACTGTAACTAGTACCGGTTGTTAGGGGTTAGGGTTTACTGTTTTAGGGTTGAGGGCTTAGAATTTAGGGTTTAGGTTTTAGGGTTTAGAATTTAGGGTTTAGGGTGTTTGGGGTTTAGGGTTTCGGGCTGTCTAGTAGGGTAGTATAGGGGCCTTAATAGCTATCTATACTACTGTTGATGACAAAATCCTGCAAGATTCCTTATTATGGGTCATGCAGGGTCTATGCCATCAGCCGTAGTAAAGTCGTCCATATGTACTACTATTATGGAATTGGGTCGTCGAAACCATAATGAGGATGGTCTTTTGAAGCACAATTCCACAATAGCAGCATATATGGACCCTCTGGGTAAACAAACAAATACCATGGAACCCCTAATTTGTTGAAGGATCCACATGATGCAGAAGCCTGACCAATGCTAGTCCTCAAGGATCCTTCTTGTAGTCATGATGTAAGAACCGCGGAACCCCGTACCAATTATGAGGGGCCCTCTAGAAGACAGCCGTAAACCCCAAACCCTAAACCCCCGAAACCCGAAACCGAGAAAGTCCTCCCACATGTACTCTGAGGGAACCACGGCAAACATGAGGTTGTGCCTTGCAGCTAAGTATCCAGAGTTGCTGGACTTGGGTTCAGGATTTAGGGCTTAAGGTTTTCCGGATTCCGGGCTTCTGAAGCTGGAATCTCCTAAACCTTGTGCTAACTACTGCTATAAGGTCCCCAATAGTCCGATAATTCAAGGGCGAGGTTAGTAACTAGGTTAATCATAGAGTTGTTACTCTGTCGTGACATGTACTGAAGGTTCTTTCAACTCTACACGGATCCTTTCGATAAGTTAGTCACTAATTCCCTCCATGTTCGGAAGTCATCACCCCACATCCCAAACGACGCCTTCTGTGGTTGCAGGGTTGATGGCGAAGGGCTTGGCGTTGAGAATTGCGGGTGTTTGGCTTTCAAACTATAGGATTTTAGCGTTGACGGCTTGAGGGTGAGCAGGGAACCACTTGCCACTTGTCATCCGCATAAAACCCCGTAAACCCTTTCAGAAACTCATCTTGTAAGAAACATCCCCATCTGAGAAAGCCCTGAACCGAAAACCCTAATACTATTTTGGGGGTTCCTTATTATAGTTATAGTATAATGGGCCCCATATTGAGCCAATCCCCTGATGTCTCTCTCAACCCAAGCGGCCTCTTCAGCAGCTCGTACCGGCAATCATTGACGTCCAGCAATACGTCCCAACCTAAGGTGCTAGGAGGTCTGTACATGTGGATGTGTCATGTATACGCATGCATGTGCGTATGCATGTATGTATATACATATCTACCCATAAATCTGCTAATGTATTCGTTTAACTATCCAAGGATCTGTTGATACATATCTGCATATCCATATAAGATCGACTCTGCTGCAGAGCCCTGGATGATTATGAGGACAAAATGAGCGGCAATTATGTACCTCATGGCTAAGCTGTGGTTCATGTTATCATTCGGTAATAGCAGCCACTTTACAGGTTTAGGGTTTAGGTCTCAGGGTTTAGGGTGTAGGGCTGCTGGAGTAGTAATCATCACAGGAACAGGAACAGAACGTATAGTCGCAACAGGACTGTCGCAATAGGAAATCATGCTGACAGTATTGCAGCCTGAACAAATGCCGATGATATTCCTCAGAGTTCAGTATGACATGTGTACCTTAATATACTCCAAAACCCTAGTCTAATTGCTACCGCCCCCAACCCCTAGACCTTTATAGAACCCCAACGAGGAACCCTTTGCAGAACCTGTTAAAAGAAGCCTATTCGACTTGCCACGATTTATGCTTTTTCGGATGTCAGGCCTTTGCGCTGTCATGGGCTTAGGGATGCTTAGGGCTCGTTTTACAGGGATCTATACCTGGAGAATCATTTGAACTGGGTTATAAGGTTCCCGTTAAGATTCGTTTAAGGGATCTGTATGGGCTCAAAAAAAGGGGGTTTTCTGTATACTTAGAGGATCATGGGACTTAGTATCTAGAGATACATATAAGGGAACCATAATTCATAATTATGATTTCCTACAGTAGTAGCCCCAATTAGGGTATTTTTAACCCTACTTACTAAGTCCCATGGTCCTCCAAGCAGGGCTCCTTTTAAGGGATCTGTTGAGGCTCTCTGGAGGTCCTTGAAGGGTCCCTTTCAAGGTATCACACGGGCTGAAGGGTCCGGAAATATCTTGGTCTAAGGTGTTTATGGTTTAGGGATGTTTAGGGCTTGGGGTTCGAGGCTGAGTGCTTATAGGGTTTAGGAGTTTTGGGCTTATTCAGGGTAGTTAGTTTAGGACGAATTCTTGTCAAGGAACTTAACTTAAGCCGCCAGAATACGGATCCGTAGTAGATAGCATGGCTATGGTTTCCTTATCATGAAAACTCAAACCAAATAAATTCCGTAAATCGACCCCAGGCTAAGGCGCAGCTTCGGAGCGGGCAGAGTAGGTCTCCGTGTCGCGGGAGAAATCACAGCGTTCCAAAGAGCAAGCCACATACCTAAGCTGTGGTTTAAGGTATAACGTAGAACCGTAAACGGATTTCAAGACACAAAGACCACAACACGGGTGCACGCAATTAGGGTATAATGTAAGCCCCTTGGACATTTTAGAACAACAAGCCCGCAAAAGAGGCAGCTTGCTCTTTTATCGCGGAAGATAGGTTTTGTCTTTCCATTTCGTGGATCGCACAAAGGCTAGGAATCAAATAGGCTACCTTTTTGGTATTGGATAGGCATTTAAGGACCCTTATAAAAACCACAAAAAGGGAAAGGGCCCAGTGGGAGACCAAACATTAATGACCCTCCTTCTACAACCCCGCAGTCGTAAGAAAGCTCGTCTACACCCTTGCAGTGTCTCTCAAGCCTCAAAGTTCTGCAGAGCTGTCCTGTAATGGAAAACAGAAGGGTGCGCCACTCCTTTTACCCGAGCTCCTTAAAGAAAAGGCCTTAATCGATCTGTTTATTTATTGGGTACTTCTACTACGGACAACCACGGATACTTATAAAACCCTGCACGACCCCGGAAACATTCAATCTGTAACAAATGCCAGAAAAACCTATCAAATCCTGTTAAAAAACAGAAGATGATTTATGAACCGTATGAAACACTCTAAATTGCAGCAGAAGCTATCAAAACCCGAAAGCCAGCTCTAGTTGCTGGGCCACGCCGTCCTGCGCAGTGTCGCAGCTTTCAGTGAATCTATCTGGGTTTAGGGCTTACGTACGGTTTAGGGTTTAGGGTGTGTATATACAGTATGTGCGTGCGGTGGGTGCGCCTTTTACTTCAGAATACGCGCGCGCACACTGATCGTGCGCTTGCGCCATCAGCATGTTTCCCCGCCCCAATCATTCAACTTTGCTCAATTCGGGTTTAGGGTTCATCCCCACACCCCCCTCAAGGGGGCTTTCTTGCTCTCTGCTTCCCTTCGCGTCTCCACATAAAAATGAGTACTGTACGTCACATAGCAAACCGCAGCTGAGATGGATCAGTGTCGGGTTGTGGGTCCTCGCGGCTTGTGCCGGCCGCTCGACGAGAAGCCAGGGTTTCCAACAGACAATCCACCCTTTTGTGGTTTAGGGTTTAGGATAGCTTTGGGGTTTAAAGTTTAAAGTTAAGTAACAGCTACAGCAAAGGCAACAGCAGTAGCAGTAGCAGTAGCAAGGGGCCGTTCCTGTGGCCGTGGCGGCAATGCTAATTCTCGTATAAATCGCATCGATAATAGTACAGGGAAGAAAAACGGTAAAGATATATTGGCAAAGAAGGCCACATTCATATGCGTGTCTGTATATGTACCGTATGTATTCGAAGCTAAAACAGTGATGATAGTGGTAACAGCGAGAGAGAGAGAGAGCCCGCAGCAGCAACAAGAAGAAATGTTTGAATCAATCCAGAATGCTTGTTTATAGCTTACAAAACAAAAATATACATACATACATACATACATACATACATACATACATACATACATACATACATACATAGATGCATACATACATACATACATAGATGCATACATACATACATACATACATACATACATACATACGTACATACATACATACATACATACATGCATACATCCATGCATACATACATGCATACATACATGCATACATACATACATACATACATACATACTTACATACATACATACATGTATATTGACATGTTTTCACATATGTACATATACCTGTACATACACGCTTACAGAGAGGTCCAAAAATGCATGTACATATATATATATATGTATATATATATATATACACGCGACTCTATACATACATACACACATGTGTATGTATATATATATATAGGCAGGTATAGGTATATACCAACATTGATGGTACATTATATCGACGAGCCGGCATAGCACTAAGAAACACAGCAACACTACACAACAATAGATCCCACACCTTAGTAAACCCACGGCTCTGAACTTTAAACCCTACAGCTCTTAATGACCCCTAAAGCCAAAACCCAACCCTAAACCCTAAACCCCTAAACCCTTAAACCCCTGCACACCTAAACCCCTAAACCCTAAACCCTAAACCTTAAACCCTAAACCCCTGAACCCCAGGACGATCCTTCTTCGCAGCCTTCGCCCCCGCAGCGGCTGGCTCAGACGCTGCCGCCGGGCGCTTCGGAGCCATGGCAAGTACAACAAAGCGTTGTCAACGTTTAGGGTGTAGCTATGTTCAGGGCTTTGGGTTTAGGGCTTAGGGTGTAGCTGTGTAGGTGTTTATGAGCATACGAAAAGTTTGAAGGGGGTCGATGTGGACTTCTACATGGTGTTGGTGGGCTTTGGTGGGTGATGGGTGCCGGGCTCTTTTTGTCCAAACCCCAAACCGGAAACCCTAAGCCCTGGACATGTGTTTTAGGGGATAGGCTTGCTGGATCGAGGGTTCGGGAACAAGGCTTTAGGATATTCATGCGGGTAGATTAGGGTCCCTTTTTAGGGATCCTTTAAAGGTATCTAGAAAGCTTTCTATAAGCGTTTCTATAAGGGCACTACAAGGGTAGTTCTCCAAAGTAGGGTCCCTCTTTAGGCCCCCCAAAATTGCACGGCACCCTTATAAACAGGATCCTACAAAAAACCGTTAACCCTAAACCCTACACTTCCCAGCCGGTTTGCGAGCGGGGAAGCCAGGGTTCCGGGTCTAACATGGAGGATCAAGTCGCTTGAGCCGTCCAATGCTAAGGGCTTTCGGGTTTTAGGGGTCTTGCGGTCTAGGGTTTAGGGGTTCAGGACCCTAGAATCCAAGACGGGAACCCTGGAAGGAACCCTTACATGGCACATTAACGGAGCCCTGAAAGGATCTAGAATGTACAACCGCTACTAAAGGCCTATCTTCAGCGACGCAGCAGTAGGAGGGCTTTGTAGGGTGTCTAAGTCTATTACCCTTATGGGACCTTCAACGGAGGTCAGAGTACTAGAGGGGTTTAGGGCTTTAGTTTAGGGGTTTGGGGTGTAGGGTTTAGGGTTCCTGTAAGGGTACTGTGGGGGAAACGGAGCCCGGGCTTCACCATGCGCAGCCTACTCAAGGGGCGTCCTTAGGGTTCAGGATAGGGTATTGGGGTAGGGTTGTGAGACTTTGGGGTCTCTAGACCTCGGAGTTCATCAAGTCCTAGTTTGCCATTTGACTGCCATTTTGGTCGTTTGGTCTTGTTGCCCATTGTCAGTATTGCGACTTTACCTTGGTAGTTGCTTGATATTTTTCGGCTGGCTTTCTTCGGCAGCTGCACTGGTCTGCACTGGTCGCCTTGCAAGACTCCTAGCAGGCCAAGGCTTAGTGGCTGAGTTCATAAGCCACAAAAAGTGCACACTTTGAGTTCTATAAGGGGTCATATTATCACAAAAATGGTGTAAAATGTACTCATTCAGCTACTAAGTTCACAGTGCCCTAAATCCTAAACCCTACACCC